GACATCGGCACCGTGACGTCACGCTACCCCTCCAGCTGTGTTGGGGAAGGGTGCGAGGCTAGCGAGGCAGCCCCTAGCTGACTGGCCCGAAACCAACCCAACCCCCGCGCCGCGCCGCATAAGAAATGAGCAGGCCGTCTCACTCGCACCCCTTCGGGACCGCCACTCGAGTGCGAGAGAGACGGGACTGTGTTGGGAATCGGCCCACAGTGCAGTGGTCCCCAGGGTGCAGCCACACATGGCTGTCTAGGAGGGCTGCTGGTCCTTATTTTCTCTCCTTTTCCCCGCCTGCATCTAGGCCGCGTGTCCCAGCAGGGAGGACCCTCTCGTTCTCGTTAGCGGCTACTGCCTGCCTGTCTGTCTGCCTGTCTGTCCGCCTGTCTAGCACGCGCCTCGACTGCACTCTCGTCCAATTTGGGACAGTCCTCCTCCAACTTGCAGTGCACCGCGCCGGGAGGGTGCCCGCCCCGCCCCGCCCCGCCCCGCCCCGCCCCGCCCCTAACCTGCCCCATGCATCCTCCGGCCGGCCGGGCGGGGCGTTCCGTCTCAGTGGCCGCGCCGCGATGAGTCACTGCAGGACGACGGCCGCGTCGGAGGCGGCGGACGTTTGCGCGTCGTCGGCCCCGCAGTGTGGCGGTCGACGCCGTCCTGGTGGTGGCGGTGCGGGCAGGGCTTGACCCTCGCCGACGACGCCGCGGCCGACTCCACTTTGCATATCCCGTCTTCCAATTGGCTGCCTCCCTCTCGGCTCTCGTTGCCGTTTTTGCGCGCGTGCCGTGGGAACCGGGTGTAAGTTACACCGTCGGGTCAATTTTCACGCCCCCCCCCCCCCCGCCTCGCGAACTCCACCTGTACTTACGATGCCGCGACCAGCCTGGCCCCGCCTAGGGGACCTTTTTCCCTGATGATATGCAAACGATTTGGAGCCCCGCTCCCCCGCCACTCTTCGCCTTTCACCGCGTCAAGGTCAAAGCGTCAAACGGCGAGGCTGGGGCACGGCACTGTAAGCGCTGCATCCGCCGCTCCGTCTCTCTCGCACCTGTACGGGCCGTTCCACGAGTGCGAGAGAGACAGACCGCTTATTCTGCAGGGCAACGTTAGGGAAACCTATCCGTGGCGCGGCTGCCCGAGCCAGGTGCGCGCTAGTTGGTTTTTGGGTTGCTGTTTCTTTTGCCGCGATGATGGCGAGCAGAGAGGCGCGAGGCCCGTTTGGAACTAGTTTTGTTGTTGTTTTTGTTGTTAGTATCCATCCCGTGCGAACGGCGTGGTCGGCGTGGCTGCCGTCGGGCTCTGATGCACTGCGCTGCGGGGGCCGCTTCGTGGTCGCCCGCTTTCCGGCGCGCTGCCCCCCCCCCTCCCCGCCACTCGACGCCGCGGGGCAGAAGAACGTGCCGTTTCTGTGTTTTGGGTCGCAGCGCTGCAGAGCTGCAGGTCTTGCAGTGGCGTGGCGTGATGCCGGCGCAGTATGCAGCCGTGCGCACGCCCACGTGGGGCCTGGCCGAGGCGAGGCGAAGATCCCCCCCGGGGTGCCCGTGCAAAAGACGCGCGGTGCCACTTTGCAAAAAAAAAGTATATTCCTCCCGATTTTGACGTTTTGGCAGCCTTGTAAACGGTGAGGGTCGCGAAACATCTCGCAGGGGACGACAGAGACCGGAAATGGAATTTTGGAGTGAAGTCGGGCCGCGCGCGGCTGTTGCAAGCGGATCTCTCCGTGCGGAAGGGGCTCTGATTTCTGGAATTCGGCCAACCCCAGTGTGCGTGCGGCGATGGGTCCCAGGTGAGACTGCACGTCGGAATGTATATGTGCAGTTCGGTCCCGCGGGATGTCCCTAGCGTCGTCCCCCGGGGACCTGTTCGCGACCAGGAATAGCTGGGCGAGCCCCGCGGGTGGGAGCGAGAGGGCGTGCTTGGCCCCGCTTTGCCCTGCTTCGACCAATCAGAGGGGGGCGGGGGCACCGTAAATATTTGGCCGCGGCGTGCAGCGCGGGCTGCGCGCGCTATGGCGAGCAATGCGCCTTCCTTGTGGCCGTGCCGCGTGTGTGTGTGTGTGCGTGTGCGTGTTTGTGGAGGGTGGGGGCACGCAGGGCAGGTTGGATGTAAAAGGGAAATGGTGCGTGCTTTTTACGATCGCACAGCGACGCCCCGGATCCCGCACGCACACCAGTGCACGCACGGCCGCTGTGTTTTCCGGGCTCGCCGCGCTGGCCACATCGCCGTCATAAGGCACCTGTCCGCCCAGCCGGTCTGTCTGCATGTCCGTCCGTCCGCCGTGCCCACGCCTTGTCACGCTACGGGAGTAAAGTCCTGGTGAAGTACGGGCTGCTTGTGCCTGCTTGTGCCCACGGAGGTGCCGTAGTACGTCCTGCCGATGCTTGGCTCGTCGGGCGCGGCCTCGTGGGTCCCCGCGGAGGGTCACTGCGGCGCAGAGCAGCGCAGCGCGGGGTCAGTGGCCAAGGGGGCCCTCTCCGACCACACCTCTGTCTGCCGGGCCGGGCCTGGCCGGGCCTGTGGGCCCCGTTGGGGCGTGGCACCGGCCGCGGGGGCCGCGGGGGCTCGGCCAACCCTCAAACCTGGCGGCACATCGGGGCCAGCCTGGTCAGCCCGTGTCGGGTTTCCTTGCTACCCCTGGCGGGGCCTTTGGCCGCCTTTTGGCCGCCCCGTCCGCGCCCCGTCCGCGGCAGGCCGGTGTGGTCGCGACAGGCGGACAAGGGCGTCCATTGTGCCGCCGACCGCGGACCTTTCCGGCCTCCCGGGGACGCGGCGACGACGTGCAGGTGCGAGGCGGAAACAACGCCACACTGGTAGGCGAGGAGGGCGATGACCTTAGTGCGTCGGCATTAGAAGGGCTTGGCGGGGCCCGGGCGGGGGCCGCCGGCGCCAAGCACGCCGCCCCAGCAAGCCAGCACCCTTCCCTATGAATGCGACATGAGTCTCAGTCTCCCCCATCAGCGAAGCAAATAGGAGAAGTAGTTGGTTAGGTTTACGACGCCCCGCCCCGCAGCGCAGCCCTGGCACGTTCCTATTTCAAGAACGCCCCGCCCCGCTCCCCGCGCGGGTCAAGATTGTCAGGGCGTAACGACACACTCCGCTTGCTGCACATGCTGGCCGTCTAGCTGGCCGTTGTCGGACGAGCGCACCTACCTGGAAGGCCCTGGAAAGTGGGCCAGAGTCGACCTTCACTCGAAGCAAACACTTTTGGAATACGTTGAAATAGGCTCCTGTATTCTGACCGACTTTACATCAACAGCGACGGCGTGCGGCGTGCGCGCTGGGCGCCGCGTCCTGCGCGGCGTCCTGGAGGTCCTTGTCCTCGCCACGCGCTGGCCGCGCCGCCGGTGCGTTGGCCTGTACGCCCTGCAGTGCCTGCCGGTGCCGCGTCGCCACCCCCCTGCGCTCCAGACGTCGGCCAGACAGGCAGGGGAGTGCGAATACACCGGGAATGCGTACCGGCGGGCCCTTCGGGTGCGGGGGGAGAGACAGCGAGCATTGGCCCTGCCGGCCAACCCCCGGCGGGGCCCTGGGCAGGGCGTCCCGTAGTCCCGTGGGGCCGCCGGGACGCCGCCTTTGTGTGTTGCGTTGCGTTTCGTTACGAGGGGGCGCCGGCTGCGCCCATCGCTGCGCCCCGCCGCCCCGACGGGGGCGTCTGCTCCGCCTGCTCGACTCACCCTCGGCGTGCCCCCTCCCCCTCCATCCCGCTTGGCGCTTCCCCTCGTTAGGCCGGGCTGAGTTTCCGAGTCTGCTTGGCGCTCATTTATAATGCACGCGGCACTGCGCCTGCACTGCAACTGAAGGACCGCGTCGCCGGGAAAAGGCTTTCCCGCCGGGCGGAGCCAGAGCCAGGCGGGGTTAGTGGGGTGAGATATGAAGTGAAATGTGATGGGCGCGCCGGCACGCGAGGCCAGCCTTTACCAGCGGGCTGTCTCTTTCTCTCTCTCTCGCCCTCATGAAGGTGTGAAGGTGTGAGAGAGGCAGACCGATGAGACCTCCCCCTCGGAGGCTTCAGGGCTGCTCGCCGCGCTGCCGCTCCGCTAGTCGGTAAACCTTCTGAAGGCGCTCGTAAGGACACTTACCTCGGCTCTGCACCCTCTCCTCCCTAGGCCCGCGAGGCGAGCCTGCCGGCTGCTGCTTCCGAACAGAGTGCTTTCATCGCGCTGTCTCTCTCGCACTCATGGGCCGTTCCGTAGGTGCGAGAGAGAGGCAGCGAAGCGCTGTTGGGAATGAGTGATGCTGGTCGCTCACCCCGGCCACCGCCACCACACTGCCACCCCATCGGTCCATTCGGCCCCGCGTACTTGCGGTCTTGTTGTGTCCTGAACCTCCGCGAACCCTCCACCTCCCCGGCAGCGGGCAGGGCTTGGGGCCGGCAGCCTGCGTTCTCCGCAGTATCGGTCGCGCCCTCCCCCGGCCCCGGCCCCTGCCCCGGCCCCTGCCCGTCGTCGGGGGCAGAGGAGACAGGGCAGTCACCCCGCGGTCACCCCGTCGCTGTCGCCGTGTTTGAGTTGAATGCGGTGCTGCCGCCTCTCCCGCCTCTCCCCTCGGGCCCCTAATTGAACATTCCCACCCCTACACTGTATTTGAACCCCGTCCTCACCGCCTGGAGTCCAGAGAGCCGGGAGCCGCACGGCAATCACCGCCGGCAATCTGCTTGACTCGGCATTGCGTTGTCGTCGTTTTCGGTTTCGTTCTCTTGAAATGTTTAGGGGGAGGTTGGCTGAGCCGCTAAGCCCTCTGCGCGCCTCGTCCTCACGTCACTCTGCGTACCGCCGCGCCGCGCACCCCACACCCCACCGCATTCCACCCCCACCCCCCACCGCCCGCCCACTTTACGGAAACTGCTCATTCCCTTTGCCGTTTTCGCGTCGGCAAGCCGAATCGCGGGGGAAGCAGCCATGTCCGATGAGTGGGGCTCAACCTGGGGAATGCACTGAAGACTGGGGAGGGAAAGTGGAAATTTTCAACTGGTGATTCTAATATTTTTGGTTTGTGTCTTTCTGTTGCAGATCTATCAAAGAACCGGTTCTGGGATCTTCCTATTGAAGTCACTGAATTCACATCGCTGGAAAGGCTAGAACTATACCACAATACTATTCGTTCTATCCCTGAAAATGTGGTGTACCTGCAGTCGCTCGTTCACTTGGACCTCAGTCGCAACCAACTCAACGTCCTTCCAAGTGCAGTTTGCACGCTGCCCCTTCAAGTCTTGCTTCTTGGAAACAACAAATTAGTCAACCTACCTGAGGACATTGGTCGCCTTCAAGATCTGACACTCTTGGATGTCTCATGCAACCTGCTCAGTACTCTTCCTCCTCAAATTGGAGAACTAGCGGAGCTTCGAGACTTAAATGCTAGTAATAATGTGCTGTGCGAAGTACCTTTAGGTAAATTTTATTGATAAGTTGAGTTTGCATTGATTTGTCATTCAGTGATGTTACATTAAAGTGTCTTTGATTTGCTTTTCAGAACTGACATACTTGAGGTTGGAGAGGTTGGACATTAGTGGAAACCGTATTTCTAGCTTACCTGTTGAATTGCGGTCTATGACAACTTTAGTGTATCTGAATCTTAACCATAACCCTTTGACATCACCTCCTGCAAAGGTAAGTACTATCTCACTGCTGTGCAGTTTCTAGTGATTATCGAGTAACAAATTTTCTTACTTATGGTTTTTTGTTGCCAGCTCTGTGCAAGGGGGCGTGTGCATGTATTTAAGTACCTGGAAACTCAAGCATTATCCAATGTTAATAAACATCGTAATGATGAGTGGAGGCGGACACACAGAAAATTATCGGACCCTCGTGGAAACCTTAGACACAATAAACGCTATACAGTTGACAGCGGCTACAGCACATCAGATAATTGGTCTCAAGAAGTTCTTACAGGGGTGAGTATTTGATATAAATAATAATAATACAAAATTTTCTACTTCATGTGGCCCTAGTTGGTTGGCTTAAAAGTTTAAAGCTGAGACTAACAGTCTGGTTTGTGTTGGTCTGGGATGGTTTACATGAACAGATTGGAGAGGAGCGGCTGGGCAAGCGCTCACCGCTTATGACACGGCAAATCAACGGCAATGGAACCGTCCCTAGAACAAGTGCTAATGGTAGTGGGAGTGGGAGCGCTTCATCCACTCCGTCTACAGGCAGTCCCAGTGAAGTAACGGAAGAAGATGTAACCAAAGTATGTAAATCCCAACTCTAAATTTTTCTTATAGTCTGTCAAACTGATTTTGCACCTCATATGTAATCTTGAATTTCATCTCAGGAACCGTTGGAGAAAAAGCGATTGGAGCGATCACAGTCAGATAGAAGTGATGCACGAAGATTTGAGAAGTCAAACACGTAAGTTGATAACTGTCATATTCATTTATTCTGGCTATGTTTATTTGGCATGTTTTCATATTTTCAATTTTATATTTTCATAGCATTTCACTTTTGTTTTTAAGTTTCTCACAATGTGTTGTTTGTGATCCATTCAATTACTTTCTTTTATCCTTGTTTTCATGAATGCCAACCTTGTTGCACTTTTATATCATTATTACAACTTATTTTTAGACTTAATAAAATTTATTTGTTTCTTATATTTTAATGATCAATGTGTGATTAGTTAAACTTAAACTGTGTGAATTTATTTAGAGACATATCAGAAAAAATTCAAGGAAACTAGATTTTATTTACTGCTTTATGTCATAGCTTCAGGCTGTAGACTTATGCCAAATTTTCTCATAGTGGTGATGTTTTAAAAGCATGCATTGCTGTGCAATGCTGCATGCAAATTTTAGCTGTGACAAATGTTTGGCACTAAGTGCGTGCACTAATCTTGTAATTTGTGTGCTCTGGTACGTTAAGCTGGATATGTCGTTAGTTTGTGTTGTGCTTCTTTGCAGCTCCAAATTTAGTCCGGATTCCCCCTCTGAAGCCCCTGTAAATGGCAATGGACTAGTAGAAGAAAAAAGACCCTTGGAGCACATTCAAACTTACAGGTAGGCTGTTTGCAAGGTGGTGTTGTGATCCAAGCTATTTCAAGTCAAGTATGTGATCCCGTTTTTCCGCAAAGGAATGAAGTCCCGCCTTCTCATTCAACCCCCTTTGTTCTGTTTAGGCTTCTTAGTCAGGAATATGTTGCAGGTCATGAACAACAGTCACAGGCAGATTTTGTTCTCAGCAGAAATGTTTTGGTTTCTAGCTTAATTTAATTTTTTTTTCTGTTTTTGCCCTGCAGAGAGTACAAAGAAGCTCTCCGGAACCAACGTGCCCAAGAAGGAGCCAGTGTGTATAAGCCTCGAGTGTCTGGTGAACTTACTCCACCCAGTCCAGACGGAGCACCTTTATCTCTGCAACCATCACCAGTCCACAATGGCCATGTATGTTTGCCCGCTAACATTTGCTTCTTAATTCTGTTCAATGAACAGCCATTTTAATTTTTAATAATTTTTTTCAACAGTCTAAAGATGAATCAGCTGTGGATTCTCCGAATGGTAGTGTACTCTCTCCATCTCAAGTGGATGGGGTGCCTAACATCAGTAAGAAGCCAGTGCAGAAAGTTCCACCATCTCGAAACTTAAACTTTCCATCTGCTCTCTCCAATGGTAATAGTGTTAATGCCAATAATAGTACAAGCAATGGTGGTGGGGACTCTCCCGTGAACAGCTACACGAAACCTGTGTCACCCACTTCAAGTGTTGGTGTTGTAAATGGTGTACCAAACTCTAATATATCTCCTGGGAGAAGCATCCCAAGGCTAGTAACCACATCAGTTGGTTATGTGTCTCCTGCTCCAAATCGCAATAAAGCAGGTACTACAAGCTCAAATTTTTTTATCCTTGTGATATGTGCTTTGTAGCTACCAGTCTAAACTTTCTCATTACTTTGGCTTAGAGGAGATTAGTTATTTCTTTGCCTGTGCAGTGTTTGTATCAGCTAAGATTTGTTTTAATTCTGCCACAGGAGGAAGAAGTGTGCGATGGGGTCGTGATGTTCCACCTGACAAGTTAAGCTTCACCATGAGGAGGGAATTTGAGAAAGCCAAGGAAGAGGCTGAATTGATCAAACAATTACGGACTGTAAGTTTCATTTTTCAATGACCTCGTTTTTTTGTTGTTTTAGGCAATATTTATTCTTATTCATTTTTTCGATTCTTAACAGCAAATTGAAGCCCGGCTCAAAATGGTTCTCCCAGAAGACATGGCTCCTGCTCTAGCTGACGGAGTGGTTCTGTGCCATCTTGCTAACCATGTCAGACCTCGATCTGTTGCAAGCATTCATGTGCCGTCACCTGCTGTGGTATGTTTCTAGGATAAACCCTTGACAGCATTTGCCTCTTATTTGATGTAATGATGTTCATAATGACGCAATATCCTTCCTCCACAGCCTAAGCTTACCATGGCCCGCTGCAGAAGAAATGTAGATAACTTTTTGGACGCTTGTCGGAAGATTGGTGTTGAGGAGGTAAGTTCTCTTTAGCTGTTTCTCTTTTTTTGTGAAGATACATGTGCTATTCTCCCAAAATGCCAGCCCTCCACCTATTTTCCTGAGCATCCCAACAATGCACCTATAGAAGTTTATTTTGAAACATAAACTGAATCAATTTAAATTCTGAAATTGTGGTTTGAATGTTAACTAGGGCTGAAGATACTTTAGGAAAGTTGTTGAATTAGACTGTGGAATCAATTTTAGACCTTACTGGAACAGGCAATCTTATGGAGCCTTTTTTTTTTTTTTCAAATGTATTGTATCTTTTCTTCATTATTACGACAACTCAATTTCTGTTTTGTCCTGAAGGGATGGTATCTAAAGCTTTCTTAGGGGCGAAAACCTTGCTTTCTCTTAAAGTGCAACAAATGTTGTCACTAGATGACAGCTCACATTAATACCCCTCTCTAATTGTTGCTTTAACTGCAAAGATTTTTTTGTGTGGGTGCGTGTGCATGTGTTTTAGTGTGTCTGAAGTTTTGAGTAGCGCAGTGTACTAAAATGTGGGAAGCCATTTCTACACATGTTGTAAATTGGCATTTTCCAGTCCCATACCTTGCTTCATCAAAATAATACTTACATCATCCTTTACTTAAATTTCTGATGTTTTTGTCTGAAAAAAAAGTAAGAAAACATATCTCAGTCTTACAGCAGTTCTTGATTGCACCATATTTCATTAAAGTTCTTAAATATTTAAAAGTGCTTGGTACTTAACAGGTTCACAAGATATCTGATTCTTGTAATTTTGCTTTACAAAAAATTGCAAACATCACTGAACACTGGTTGAATATTACACACTTCTTCAGTGAAATGAAGTTGTTACACTTGTAGTTGTGTGCTTTCTGCTTGTGCTCACCCCACATATTCACTTAGTATTGATGTATTTGGTTTGCTGCTGGTTTTTTTCCTTCTAATTCTATCCACTTTGCTTATTCACATTGTTTTTCTCCTTTTTGTGGGGGGGAGGGGGGAGGTGATTCTAATTTTGTTGTGTAGAGTTTGTAAAGGGAATAAGAATCTAAATAACTGATTGATTTACCTTTTGTTTGCACTTCTAAAAACTAAGATGTGCACCAAATTTCTCCTACATTGTTGAAACTTGGTGTTACTCTTGCTTGTATTTTTGTTGATCTGTTCAGAAATTGTGCTTTACACAAAATTTGTTTTTGAGTTGAAACTGAAGAATCATGCTTAACATATCAAATGGCGTAGTTGATGTTGCCTTTCGCAACAAGACTTTTGTGATCAAAATTTTATATGAAGTGTCAAACGGTTACTTAAGAAGATGTTTACTAGGAATCTCTGAATTTGTGCATGCTAAAGAAAAATGATGTGTTTATCATGAAATAGCATTTGTTTGTGATTGCAACAAGCAATTAAAAACTTATGTGTGGAAATTTTTGTAACTTGTCTGGCCTTTTTCTTGATTGCTGTCAGTTACAAAATCCCAGTATTATTTATGTACATGTGGTAGTCACAAGGAAGTGTTTGTGATTTGGGTTAATGATGCCTTGCTCCCGAAATATGTAACAGCCTCTCCATGGTTATTGTCTGTGCGGTCATGAGTCTTAGTGCCCATTGCCCATTCCTAGCCCCAGACCTGCATTGCTGCCCTTGCCCTTTGTAGTTTACATTCCACAAATTAAAACATGTTATCTTTTATTACATGTTATGTTACTGTTTTCATGGTATACGAGGAATTTATTTTATTTTTGGATTCCGCCTTGAAGCATCGTGCAGTGCAGTCTTTCATGTGCATTTTGTTGTGGAAAGTTCAGAATCTGTTTGTGGAGAAAGATACTTTTAGGTTTGTAGGTTAGTGTTATATGCTATTCCTTTTGAGTTATGAGATGAAACGTGCTCTGTAGTTGTTTAGACATCATTTTGCTGACATACAGGAGATGCAATAGATTCAAGTTGTGAGCTTTTTCTAGGTTACTCTTCAATGCTTTCATTTTGAGTTTCTTTTGGCTCATTTCTTGACTTGCTTCATTTCCTTGTTTTCATTTTATTTTATCTTTATTTTATACATTATGGTTACTTTGCTTCCGCCTTCTCCACTTGCTTCGGGTTGAAAAGCGCTGTGATTTCTTCATTTTGAAAATATGAACAGAACTTTGCTTTCTGGTTGGTCCTTTGCAACGGGACTAGATTTCCCCATGTATATTGGTCGATGAGAGGCAGATACCACAATAATGTATATTGTAGAGCATTGTAGTTTGCTCTCGCTAATCTGTACTGCTTTCCTATCCATCTTATCTCTTCATCTTCTTTCTCCTCATTTCTTAATTTCTTTTCACTCTCTTTTAATGTTAGAGATTTTTTTACATAACTTTTTTCACATGTAAGGAAGCACTATGTGTTTTATAATGTGTAACTTCTAATCTCATTTTGAGTTAATACTTTTTGCCAATAATATGCATTCATACTAGATAGTTAATTCATTAATATATTATGGGTTTAAGGATCTTGCCCTCACTATTACAAGCCCAAACATAGTCAGTTATGATCAAACAGCTGTCAACTCATCACTTCAAAAGTGAATTACTTTTTCAAAAGGCTGCATGAGGTTGTTGTTCCGATTTAGCTTCAGGGACAGTCACATTCACTAGCCAGTCTAGTTTTAGTTGCAGGTCTAAACAGAATCCATGATCCCCTCCCAAACCCCAATCCTGTGTTTTTTTTATCAGTATTACCATTGCTCCCATTTACTGCAGATTATTCAAGTTCATCATTTTATGTCATCCCATTTATGGCCATGACTTTGAAGCATGGTAAATTACAGACTTATGGTCTTGTCTGTTTTGTGATTTTGTTTGCCATATTAAGTTAGACAGTCAAGTTAAGTTTGATGTGCCTCATCACTTAAATCAGTGTGAGACTATAATTTATACCGGCCCAATACTTTTTAAACATTATTGACCTAACTGGGACTTCATAATAAGACTCTTTATAGACTGATGAACTTGTTCCCATGGCTGCACTGACATAGCTGCTGGTTGGGCTTGGTTGCAGGAGGTGTTGTGCAGTAGCGAGGGGGTAGTGCTGGGGAGTGAGGAGGGGTTGTATTCTCTGGCACTCACCGTGCTTCGCCTGCTCGACATTGCCACAAGCGACTCCAATGGCCCCAGTGATGAAGACACCTGCTCTGAGGATGACATTTTAAATGACAAGAGTGTTAAAGAGGAAACTGTCTCCAGTATCCATCCTCCACTGCCTAGGCATCCTCATGACAAAGCAATTTCTACATTTTGTGCTATATTATTTATAACAACTGTTGTTCTTCTTTATTTTTTCCCACCCCCAAGTTAATCCTCTGAAAGTCTTGTCTGAAAAGTAGTCATGGAGAGGAAGTGCATACCACTGCAACTCAAATGTAGCACGCAATACATGTGGTTCTGCTTCATAAAAATATTTCAAATTTTAAGCATATTCAGGATTTTATTAACAAGGAAAGACATGCAGATACAAAGTTTGTTATGGCAAAGCTGCATATTTATTTATTGAGGCAATCAAGAGGATTGATTTTTTTGCTGTAGTTATTGAGATCACAACCTGATATTTTTTAGAAATGATAGAATATTTTTTATCTTGGCGGTGGTGGTTTGGGTTGGTATGGGCAAATGTTATTATTATTGCCTTCTTTTATCTTAGCTGTTTTTAATTATTTGAGAACTTTGACTCGATCTGTGTGATAAAAAATTATCTTTGTGTATTCAGATATATTTTATTATTTGCCTTATTTATGTAAGGTCTTAAATCTACAAGTATTGAGCTTATGTATTATTCGATTGACAGTTATGTTAAGAGCCTAAATTAATTGTGATATATATATCAGGATAGCTTGTGTGCAACAATATGACAGATCAGTGTATGTGCTTCCATTCAAATGGTTTTAGTTTTAGTGCTGCCAGCAAATTGGAAGAGAACCACATATGACTGACAAGTGAAATGGCTTTTTTATCCTACTAATTCCAAAGTTTTTCCTTTAGCTTTATTTTGACCACTGGATGTACTTAACTTGATGCACAACACTTTGTTAGTGTCAGAATTGTATTCTTTATGTAAATTCTTTGTGCCTCATTTCAGTAGTGCTAAGTTTAATGTGTGATGTAGATTAGAATTTTACTATTTATTGTAATGATTCATGGTGTTATTTTTGGGTTTGGGTAACAGAGTAATCAAAAAATGACTGTAACCCATAGCAGGGGCACACCTGCACAGTCCATACGACCAAATGCTACTGCAGCATTTACTCTTGCCTCTCATTTTGTAGCATACTATGCTGCTATCCTTGCTTCTTGACAAAACAACACATTTTGTGTTCCCCTTTCCTGTATATCAAAAAGAAGTTCTACAAGATCTAAGATTTCTCTGTTCCATGTAGGCAGTGTCTGCATTAGAATCCAGACATGACAAGATACTCATTATTTTTGTTGTCTTCCATTATTTAAATGTTCTTATTGTTTGGCTTATGGCAGTTTTATGCATTCATTTTTGCAGCCTTTTGTTCTTTGGCTGCCCTAGTCAAATATTAAGTTTCCCCCTCCCTATATATCTAGTCCCTACCTTAGGTCTTATTGTATTGTATTTCATTAAGTATGGAACTCATGATTATGATGTACAAAGCATTTCCCACTTTGTTGGGATCTAGCAGACTAGTGTTTGTGCGTAAATGCACTAAATGCAGTAGTAAAATTTTTTGCGAGTTTTCTAGAAGACTTGTTTACGACATTTAGTAATAAAAGAAAAATTCTGTTGTTAGAATGACATCCTTCAGTAGTTGATTGTTTTCAGCAATCAACTATTCTTTAAATTCAGCATTGTGGTCTGGTTCCAAGGAAAAGAACTGTAGTTTTTTGCACAAGCATCATTTGTGATTCCAATGACATGGTCTTTGGCAGCATGTGTCAGTAGAGGCATAATTTTGTGTCTTTTTCATTCCTCCTAACACTTCCAGTATCTAATTTTAGTTGTAGATAGCCACAGCTCCATCCTATTTTTGACTTTGTCAATGTTACCTCTTATTTATTGTGTAAAGTTATCATAGCTTTCATGTCCCAACCTGGTACTTGATGTTCATCACTAGAGGACGTCCTTATACTGCTGTCGGCTTCAAATTTTCCTGTCATTTGTTCGAACAATTCACGGGCAGTAACCCTGCTACACCTATCTTATTGTGATGATAGTTAACTGATACAGTATGTATTGAAAGAGAAATTCCCCTATATTTGACACATTTGAGCTCTATTTTGATTTGGCACCCAGGAAAACTGGTGTACTTGTTTGCCCATAGTGTCTAGTGTATCATATTGGTGTACCCCTATTTTCTTAATATATAGAAGGTCAATTGTTGTATTTTCTTCACTTATTATTTTGAGCATTCCTGAACTTTGCATTGACTGTCTTTTTGCAATGCGCACATAATTGTTGTAAATTTAAAAGACTGCGTTAGGTACGAGGTATTACTCATTGTTGTGCCTTTTTGACACCAATGTTTACAATATGCTGAATGTTTTAAAGGTTTTTGTTTTGTTGATTTCAGTCTTAAAGTGTCCAAACTTGATCATTAGTGTTTAAAAAGAATAAATTGCATATTCTAATTAACCACTAACAAAAGTGGCGTTTTGCATGCCCTGGTCTCAGAATGAACTTTCCAGTAGTGCTCTATCGCACAGGCTCTTCCATTTACTATTTAAAATGATATGTGCTGTGTGCACCAAACAGAAAAGCAAGTAATAGTTAAAAATTGATTCCTGGTTGATACTTGGTTATCCTTGTGCCATAAATGTGATAAAAGGAACTCTGCATTGGATGTGATTGTACCTAACTTGAACTGGGATACCTTGTACCAGCTTTTAGGCCTGAAATATTTCTTTTCCTCTTTTCCTCCTTTAATGTGTTCTGGTACCTCACAGTTACTACTTACGACTACTTACGATTGTCCTTTTTTTCTACATATGGCCTGAATCCCAAAACCTGCAATTAATTTTGGTTTTGTTAGACATTTAGGCCTAGGTTTTGAATTTTAGTGCTGCTTTTGTCGTGTGATTATGACTGATTGTGTAAGAACCAAATTTGCAGGCTGGTTCTGCTGAAACTAGCCAATACCTGATGCAGCTTCTTGTTTCCTTATTTGTTGGTTTTTGTTTAGGTACCTATTTTGTTTGTGTTATGTTAAACTACCAGCACTGTATTTCTTTTCAAGGAGCCTTTTCTTATTTAACAGTTCAAGTATTGTAGGATACGTATATTGAATTCAGTGAAATCAGTCAGCAAGATTCATTTAAATTTAATTTCCTCATGAGGTCTTGTTTTTTATCAATGTTGAAAATATGTTTCCATTTCTTGCATGCCGTTTGTTGCTAGAAATATTTTCATCTTTGGTGTTCTCTACTTAATGTTAAGCAACTAGAATACTTGTTCAAAATACAAATGGATGTAAGTGCACTTTATAGGTTTAAAAAGACAATGAAAATAAAGGAGGCTTATGCAAGATTTGCTGTCTATAATTGATCCTGAAATAAGCTTGGTCTGGCTTGGAATCTCTCTTCTGCCTCTCTCTTTCTCTTCTTCTCCTGTTGTCTCTCATTTTGTCTGTTCCTTCTTTGCGGTGGCATTTCATATTGTAGTATCAATAAAAATGACAAATTTCAAGGGAAATCCTTCGTGCAAGGTATAATTATAAACAAAGCGTTAATGGACTTCAATGCAACATTCCACGATTACAGGTCTAAAACCACATACTATTCTGTTGCAGAATTTGGTGTGCTGTGCTGCAGATGTGTTGGAAGGACGGGGCCTTGTTCAGGTTGCTATCACTGTCGCTGAGCTCATGCGTTTTCACACTCCAAGATCACCAGCCCATTCGCTGAATAATGCTTGAAGTATGTATCAAGTCATCCCTATAAGACACACCAACTCGCTCCATGCATTAAAAATATCATGGTCTCACAAAACTATTGAATTCTTTTACAGGTGTTGCTGTGTGCCTCTCTTCATGCATGATTGAGCAATATTTTTGCGCTGTGAGTGTTCTTGCGTCTTTCGCATACATCAAAGTTCTTGTTTTTTTTTTTCTGTTCGTTTTTGTGCTTTCTGAGAAGACTTGAAATCCTCATTCATAGAGGGACATCAGTTTGACTGACATATGTAATAGGTTATTGGATCTGGTTCTTGTAGCCTGTGGGCATGGTTGTCCGAGGCTTACTACTGTTTTCAAAATTCTAAAGTAACAATACTAGATTTATTAGTCTGTACTTTGCCTTTGGTCATGAATATTCAACCAATTTTAGAGTAAATAACATGCATAACTGTATGCAACAAGTAATTGCGGGTTGTCTTGAATCAGGAAGTTAAATTTGTGATAGAGCTTCATTTTAAACTCCTAGTTGCTTTTTAAGCTGTGCTTTAGTACTAATATCCTGTACTAATTGTGTTGTGTGATTTCTCACGCAACGTTCATTTCACACAGTGAGTGCTGTGCCAAAGATTTTTTGTTAGTTTTATCATTTGCATATGTTTATGTTTTACCTAAGTACATACTGATAATGCTAAGTGGTGCATTGTCTTTTATTATATTTTTAATTGTCCAGTCTGTTTAACCAAGATAACTTGGTTTGTAAGGTTTTTTTGTAGCTACCTGAATTGGTTGTGAGAGAGGAAAGTTGGGTCAGAAAGTGGTGCCTTTTCAGGACGGTCAAAGCTTGAGTGTTACATGGCTTTAATGCCTGATGTTTGTGTTTTGTCACCAGATCAAAACTGATTGTAATTGTTTCCTTCTGTGGTTATCTCATTGGGTGCTAAGTGTTATTCTGAAGCACCCAGCAACTGATGTGGATTTTTGTAGTGCCATTCACCGTGTATCAATGACATGCTGCACATATCGTAAACTTTTTATCTGGATCTTTTGTGATTCGTGTTTCAGACCAAGCCTTTTGTATCTTGATGTATAACTAGGAATTTATCAAATTCCTCCTTCATAACTCTTTTATTTCTTTTGATTCCCATCTCAGTATAGTGGTGCTTGTCCTCATTCATTGTGTTCAAATAATACTGTATTTGAGCCACATGACTATCTTTTTCTTTTCTAAGTCCTTATAAATTCATTTTTATAGGATGAATCTCATTGTAAAAAAAAGTCATTTTTCATGTGATTGTGCCCACCTTGCTGTTGCTAGTACCATTTACTATTCGTCTTGTGGGGAATCATGTCTGTGATTACCTTCTGTTCAGCTTACTAAATGCTTAAGCTTTAGCTTTGTGGAACCAATACTGTAGTGATTATCCTTACATGCTATGTATTGACATAACGTCTTCTTTCATGCTGCATCATGTTTGGTTTCCAGTCTTAGATGACCCTCTTCTGCTCTCTACTAGTTATTTATTCTTTTTGTTTGGAGTAGTGACTCACTTTAGAAAAGATTTATTATTTACTGTTGTTAAGGCTCCCTCTTTAATGTAGATTCTGTATTTACAATGAGCCGTGTATTTGATTACGATTTACAGGCTTTGTACAAATGATTCGTATTCTATATCTTGAACTATTTTAAAATTATTTGGATAAATAGTACATAATAATATAAATATGTATACATGCAGTACTGTACATATGCTATCTTTTTCAACTGAACAACCATTTCATCTCCATGTAGGTATTTAATTTTAAAAATGCTCTTCCATTAGACCAGATCTTTTGCCACCAATGTCACAAAATCACTCAGTGTCATAGACTACTGACAAGCACCAATATTTAATTGAATTGCTCAATAATAGTGTTGAGAAAGTGGGGAAACTGTCTGTGTACCATGTAACCTTATTTTATTTATACTAGTGAAATACTATACTGGTCATGTCCAATTTTACAAGTACATAAGATGTTTCCACTTTAAACTCATCCAAGCAGATGTAATGTGTAGTGGACTGTGGAGTTTTGAAAGACTGTCATTGGAATGTTGCTTTTACTACCACCTGTGTAAGTTTTGTAATTTTGTATCTAAATTGTACAAATGTAAACTTTTTGAAAAGTATTTGTTGTTAATATGCCATTCATCTATTAGGTCAATCTGTTTGGAGGCAGTTTATTAGCGCGTTGGGACTTTAACTCGAACAACGGAGATATGTTGCTCTTTGTTAATGTGGGTCTGCGGAAGTCATTCTGAAAATACAATGCAAAGAATGATGTGTTGTGGGGCCTCCATTTTTCTTAAGTTGGAATAACAGTTTGCTGTGTAGTTAAATTGAAAGATCTGTTTTTGTGACTTAAACATATGGTACTTAACATTTTCCAAAATGTTACAATTGCAACCGACGTGTTGGGAACACACATTGCAACCCTAAATATTTCCTCGAGTCACTCTGGTGCAACATTTTCTGTTTCTGTTTTGTGATGATATGCAATAAAAATCTGTTCCTGCCTTAGCTACGCTCTTATTACCATCCACCCCTTTCTCGAGGAAACAAACAATGAAATGAAACTGAAAACACGAATTTGGCTTCGCACAGCCTGAGGCACTATGAAATGCGGCGCCCTCCCGCAGCTCTCTGATTCCGGGAGTCGTTTTGATCGCTCTGTCTCCCTCGCTCTCAAGGGACGTCTCGTTTGAGTGCGACAGAGACAGCGACAAAAACGACCGCGGAAGGCGAGGCGAGCGCCGGAAGGGGGAGGAGGCTATAACGCGGACTGGCGGACTGCTTTAGCGCCGGTGTCTGCAACATTTCACCAGACACATCAGCCTCGCCGTGGAACATGCCGAGCCGAGGCCCAGAGAAAGAAAAGACAAACACACGGGCGGGGTGGGACGGGACGATGAGAATACACGTGTACGGCTAGTTTTACAGCCGGTGCGTGACGGGCCGCGGAGCCGCGCTGCGTCCGTCTCTCTCGCACTGTAGGGCGTTCCGCTGGGGTGCGAGAGAGACGGCGCCACCGACTCGGACTCACTCCGCTGGAGGGGTTGAGCGTGCCGGAAGCGCTGGCTAAAGCCGCGGCAGTAAAGCAGGCGCTCACTTGTCCTGGGCCACGCCACGCCCTCGGCCACGCCAGCCCCTCGCAGGGCCGCACAGTGGGCCAGAAGACCGGTGGAGGCGCGGCCAAAACTCTAGACGCGTTTTGAGCTCCAGAGTCGCTAAACAGGACTCAAACCGAGCGTGTGACCCCACCAATGGATTCCTCGTTCGGAGAGCAATCCATTGGTGGGGTCACACGTTCGGTTCGAGTCCCTTTTAGCGACTCTGGAGCTCAAATCGCGTCCGGGATTTCGACCGCCCCACCGTTCTTCTGGCCCACTGTGCGCCGCAACCCCCGCCCGCTGCGCTGCGGTTGTTTACGCGCGCGGCAACCTTGTCACATTTGTCCGCCCACCCCAGCGAGGACTTCCCCTCCAGCGGGACTTCCCCACCCTGCATCGCTCGCTTCCCTCGGCCTCCACGGCCTTTATTCCGCCTAATCACAGCACGAGATAAAGCTGCTTTTAATGGAAGGCTGGCCAGGCCCGCTCTGCGAACGTGCAACGCGTCGTGCAACTGCACTGCAAGCGCGAGGGACAGGACGCGGCTTGCGCGGGTCATAATTGCGAAGCTCCGCTGGAAGTAGAAGTAGCACATGCCGCCGCACCGCGCCATGATGGAGGCTGCCTGCCTGACGATCCCTAATGATCATTAACGATCAAGAAGGAGGCGAGCAGGCGGCGGCCTCGGTACTGGAAGTGCGTGGTGCTCTACGATCGTGACCCCAAAAGGGCTGCAGCACGGTGGTGGCTCGCGGGCCGGGGGGATGAGGAACCTCAGATCCGACCAGGGAGTGCCAACTACACAAAACTGGAATGAATACAAATTTCAGAAACGGTAGCTAAGCAGCTGCCAAAATTAGAAACTCAGACTGAAAAATTGAGTTATCCTAAAAGCATGACGTTGACGTTCCAAACGCTTTCCGATAAACAGATGCAGACGCGGTTGGTTAATTTTTGGTAAGTTGGCACTGTGGAGGGCAGGGAATGCTACTTGACTTGACGGGCGGCGATACCGTGGCCATGCAGTGACGCAGGCGGCGGCTAAGCAGCGAGAGGCTCTCCAGGTTCTGGTCGGGTCGCATGCCGCGGCTATCGGTGGTCCGGTTCCGAACAGTGCTGCGTCGTTGGGTCTCCCTCGCACACGTTGGGGACGTCCCACGAGTGCGAGAGAGACGGAGCGAGCTGTTCGGACTCGGCCCACGGCACGCGCGTGACAATACGGCGGCTGCGCTCGGGGACGCCCCCTTCACCCCCGTCCCGTCCTCCACTCCAGGGACGGGCGACAGCCCGCGCGCCGGAGGGCCCCACTAAGCAGGTTAATTTTTCTTCCGATTAAGGCCGGGGCTTGAAACCCAACTCCCGGAGCTCCGTCTGCTCTGTCTGTCCTTGTCCGTCACTGGGTGTCGCCGCCCGGTCCAAGTCACTCACTCGGTGCCGGTCACGCGCGGAGCGGGACAGAGAGATTCCTGCTCGACGACAATTTTTCAG